ATAAGAAACAGGCCATCTAGGAATCAAAATTTTCCCAGGGATAATCCCCGCACCCCCCTTTTTTTTTTTGGGATTTATCGATTCATGGAAAAACTACGTATGCAACTTACTCAATCTTTTTTTATGTATGTATGTATACACACAAAAGGCCTATTTACTGTAATAACAATGGGAAAAATTATCTGACCGTTTTCAAGAGTGGAAAACCTTGATTTTGAAGAACTTAATTACTTTTAATTATTATTTCAAAATTCAAGGTGTTCCCCTCTTGAAAATTATTATAATGAATCAATGAACCCAGAGAAAGGGAGGTTCGAGTTCTTTCCGGGAAAATGTTGACTTATAAATGGTGGACAATGAGATTTCCCGACTTCTGAAGTATTTTTTAATGACTTTAATTTAAAAGACACCTCAGAAGTCGGGAAAGCTCACTTCCCGCCTTCTAGGAATCAAAATTTTCCTGGGGAAGAACCCCCGAACCCTCCTTTCTTTTCGGGATTCATCTCATGGAAAAAATCGTATGCAACTACTCAATTTTTTTTAAATGTATGTATACCACCTAGATTTGATTCCAGATTTGCATGATTCATATTCCCATTCATCTTATAAACAGTGGCGTAACAGGCGGGGGGGGGGGCAGGGGGCAGACTGTCCCCCCCTGATGGTTTTTACCGGGCTGACCAAGCCGTCGTACCGGGCTGGGTAAGAAGAGAAAAGAAAGAGGGGAGAGGGAGGGAAAGAGAAAGAAGGGGAAAGAAAAAGAAAGGAAAAAGGAAAAGAAAAAGAGAAGAGAAAAATAAAGGCAAGAATAAAAAGGAAGATATAATGAACAGATATCACAATACCCCGCAACCCCTTGCAAGCCTGCAACCCCTTCTCCACTTCAAAAAATGTCCATATCGCATTTAATCTAAGCCGCCAGGTATTCTCCGCAGTGGCGTAACCACCAGGGGACAGGGGGAAAATATCCATCTGTGGAAAATCTTTCCCCATTGAATGCCCTTTTCACCCGGGAAAGTGCCTGAAAATCTCAAATTTTAAATCGCATATTTTGTTGAGGTCGGCCAAAAAAATTGCACATTTTAGGGAGTTTTGATCAATTCCGACGAAATTAGAATTTAGAACAAAAAAAATTTTCGCGCGCATTTTTTAATGTTAAAGCTTGTGTTTGCTCTCCTTTGCCTTCTAATTTATAACACATAGTCCCAAAACTCAAAGAAAGAAAATTTAAGATCGTTTTACCTAAAAGAAGGGCCTCAATGTGTAATGATGTTGAAAGAATATGTTTGTAATAAATAAAGCTATAAGGAGAATGCTTATATTCAGTTTAAAAAAACGAGTGTGGCCATATATAACATAAGAGCTTGCTGAGGTAGGCCAATTTCCTCTAAAAATTGCACATTTTAGGGAGTTTTGATCAATTCCGACGAAATTAGAATTTAAAAAAAAAAAAAATTTTTGCGCGCTTCAAAGCTTGTGCTTGCTCTCCTTTGCCTTCTAAGTTATAACACATAGTCCCAAATTGAGAAAGAAAATTTAAGGTAGATCGTTTTACCTAAAAGAAAGGCCTCAATGTGTAATGATGTTGAAAGAATAGGCCTATGATTGTAATAAATACTAACCACGATGAAAATGCTTATATTTAGCTTCAAACACACGTGTGTAGCCTATATTAATAATAAAATAAGCCCTATGTCGTATTGTTTTCTATATGGTGGGTGGAGGGGGGGGGGGTATCACCCAAGACCCCTGTTACACGCCTGCTTATAAGTGGGGCCCCCCACTTTGAAAAACGTTCCGCCGGCCCTGCGTGGTATGGGCTCACTTGTTGACTCTTCCATGTCAATAAGGAGATGCATTCAGATTTAGTCACGTGGGACTTCATAGGGTTCTAAAAAATAATGGACATCAAAATATAAGAGAGCTAGCTCAGTCGGCTTATCTGGTGGTAGCCTGAAACGTGGAGATCTCTAGGTCCTCGGTTTAATTCCCATCGCTGCCTCTCCTGGTGTTTCAGCTGGAGGGCTGTAACGCAAGTTGCGCTTTCGGATGAGACGTTTAAGCAGTTCGTTCCGTGAGCATTATGGCCTAATATGCATGTTAAAGTAGGAAGTGCACTCTTCAGACAAGAGTAGGGGATTGTCTGCTGGTGTACTGCCTAATCACTACCAGAAGGACCCCACTGGAAATAAGTATTTTTCTAGACTTTCGTGGGTTATCCTTGGTGTTTACACCAAATAAATACATCTTATCCCGAATCCTAATTTCTGGATCAGAAGGAATACCGAACCGGTTCAGTTTGTAAGAATAAGGACGCTGGTGTCCAGCGCCTCAAGAATGCGGTGTGGATTTTGGTTCGGATGTGATGTGAATGCAGGTTTAGGCCTGTAGTAGATAAAAGATAAAAGATGCATTGTCCTATGAAAAATACGAAAAAAAAAAAAATTTTCAAAATCAACTTGCTCATTTTGAAGCAACATAACAATTATCATCTTAAACATAGAAATTCGTGTATTTAAAAAATGTTTACCTAGAATACAGTGAAAAATAATAAAAGTACTTCCAGTCACTGGAAGTGTTTTTATTTATTTTTTAAAATATAATTTTTGATTATAAACATCAGGGTACACATTTTCTAAATTCATTAATTTCTATGCACAAGTTAATAATTGCTATGCTACTGCAATGCAAGTTAATTTCAAATTATTTTGTAATAATATTTTTGTCATTTTCAGGGGACAATACATCATTACATTTGTATAAACACTTCAATATATTTAAAACCTGTAAAAGAGAATCAATACTTATACCATAAACATATACTTTAAATATTTGTTTTTTATTCTGTAAGGTACAGAAGTAACATAATAGATTTCCCTTCACATATTTCATCAATACACTATTCATTATCAAATTCCTTTGCGTAAAATTTACACAAGTATGCTTTAAAATCAGTCCTTTCAGCCTACATTTATGTATAAAACTCCAAGGTCGACACCTTTTTCCCTGTCTATCTAACCACTTACATTTTTGTAAGAATGAATTGTTGCCGCTCTCTTATGTAAACAAAGAGAATTTATCTCCATGATATAACAATTATACCTCAATGATGTAATAACTAACCGGCAAAGGAAACACAAACTCGCTAAAATGAGACAGGCATCATTCTTTTTTCCACTTGAGTAGCACCTTAATCTATTTGATGACTTCATTATTATCGGCTGCCCTCTTCAGTCGTAATTTGATGGTCTCAAGTAACTTCTTTATGGCATTGCGAAGTTCTTCAGGCGAATAATACATGAAGCATATACGGAGACAATTGTGGTAGCCCCTTGATATTGAGCACCTGCAAATGATAACATCAAGATTCAAAATTCATTTACTGGCTTATTCGTAAAAAAACCAAATGTAAATAAAAATGCAAGTTTTGTGTTTGAATACACACATTGCCAAGTACAATGTAATTATTATCATTAACTGTTCTGTATTCAGAACAAGTGGTCGTCATTGACTAAATAATAAATATTTAGTTGACAACTTCAACATTGTGGAAGCAAAGGGGAGAAACTCGCGAGTAAGGTGTCCTTTGTGGAGGGGGATTCATCAAAAAATATATTGAAATAAGTAAAACATGAAATATATAAAATATGTTAAAATATTCAATGTTAAAAAGAATCATAGTTATTATAATAGAGATCTTAATGTAACACTGACAATCATAAATAAGATTCCTGGCAAAATAAAATCTGGGGAAAAAAAATGGGTAAAATGTACAGTATAACATTTTAAATATTTTATCTATGGGTTTTGCTATTAAAATTCTAATAGAAATTGGTACCAAGAAAGTTTGGTATCGTTAAAATCTGGTATTGATTGATCGTATACTTAATCCAGACTGCTGATGATTATATTATACACGTAAATGTGAAAACGCCCACAAAAATAACAACCAGCATCCACAAATGTAACAAACAGCATCCACAAATGTAATAACGATCATCGCCCACAAATGTGATAACACCCACCAATGTAACAACAAAACATGACCTCTTCGCCCACAAATATAATAATTTTCTTTAAACTTCGAATGTAGGAGATAAGACCCAACAAATGGCCAAACTGCGCATTTTGTGACAGAAGCATGACATTTTTAATTTGCAAAAATTGGCCTCAAAAAGAAGATCATCTCTTTTCGAGATAGTAAAATACATATACTGTACATGAATTACAATATAATACAAAATAAACTAAAAACACGCTTGGTTAACAGTAGTTTAGATGATTTAATGCTGGTTAATGCACTCCATTTAAATTTAAAATAAAGATTTTGCAAATTAAATTGGTTTTTCAGGTTAATTAACTTTGCTTTGCCATGTATTTCCCATAATTTACTATTATTTTTTCAAGTTTGAACAAAAATGGGGATGCCGCAACCTACAGGCAAAATATTGGCTCTGGTTCAAGTTAGAGATGAGTAGGTGTTATCCCAGTGTACTGGTCCATACAGCCCCTGTTTTTGACAGATGAAAGTAGCTGGTACCGGTTTACCGGATAGCTCAGACACAAACAGACCCTTAGTGCTGTGATGTATATATGCTCGGGTACCATAAAGACCCCTCTGGCTACACCACTGCCATGATAACTGAGTTTAGCTGTGGGCTTTTATAGGCATTCTTTTAGCTTTTAAACAGCATCAGCAGATTCCTCACAGACCCATGGTTTATCAGAGCAAAGTTCAAAGTTGAATAATAAGCAATTGTAGTAAGGTTTTGTGTACACTGTGGGAAATAGAAGCTGAAGGTGCTATTATTTTCTGAAAAATTGCCTGAAGCCTGCAAGGGGTAAAGGCAATTTTTGAAGGAAATAATGGTTCATAAGTCAGTTGTGACATCCATCACCTTTTCTATGGCCTTTAAAATCAAACTGCTGGTTGTAGAGCAGTTGCTATAGGCCCTATATCATAAACCCATTAGTGCTGGTTGCCATTAGAATGATTTGTTAGTAGTACATGCACTGACACTCTTCCCACAGAGCTCTTTGCAATACAAAGATAAATAAATTGATTGTGGTTAATGAAGTTTATAGGGGTTTTTAAGTAGGCCTATCCTATATAATAGACATTTGTTTAATAGATTAAAATGTATTGTAAACATTATTATGATTTTTTTCAATTCTTTTAAAATTCCATCACCTTCTTATCTTATAACAACCACTATGCCTTTCTAGGCCATGCTCAAGGCGGTCTAGGCTTCATTCGTGTTAATCAGAGCCATAGAGTGAGATTTGTTAGGTTCGCTGTGGGCGTTCGCTTGGCCTAGCAACAAATTATTCAATCACATTGTAACTGTAGTAATATCACCTCCATTTAGTTTTTTTTGCACACGAGATGCAAAAATCAGAGGCACTATATTGATTAGTGATCAGTCAGAAATAGGAAAATTCAGTGCAAATAATTGTGATGACATAACCACTAACTTGTACAGTACTTTCAATTACAGATCAAAGAGTTTGTCATGATGTAAGGTTTAAAAAACGGATTGACCGTACTGTGAAGTATTTACAAATTGAATAATGAAATCATTTTTAGTTGAGTGTTTGCATCATTTGTTGTGATTTAGGTAAAACCGTTGGTTCCATATTTTTGTGGTGTCTGGTGCACTAATCGGCCAAAAATACCATTTAATTTTTATTCGAAATCACTATCATTGGCAGGTGGTGAGTTCGCTAAACAAGGTATTAAAAAATCTTGCCTAATAGACTGGGTAAAACCCAGCAATAAAAGAATTTTGTAGAAGGTCAATCAGTCTCTTACAGTATTCCGGGATTGCATGATATATTGTGGAATCTTTTACAATCCTCATTCAGCTCTTGTGTGTCAACAAAACTTGGTAACTCTATCCATATGAAGTATCCACCCTGGAGAAATCAGGAAAACAAATGTCACATTAATAACAGTAATATCATATAAAAAAATAACTCTTTCATTCAATTCAATACAATATAATTTATTGTCAAACTTAGTAAAAACATTGCTTGAAATTTAGGCCGAATGTACACGTAAAATTGTCTAGAACGGCCACATAAAAAACGTTAAAACAACATCAGAGAGCAAAAAAAAAAACCCCTAAAGTGAGATAAAACATGAGAAAACAAAATATAAAAAGTAATAAAAATTAAAAGTAGCATGGAGATTGACAGAACAGCATCACACATTATTTAGATTGAGAGTTGCATTTATTATAGATTGATTATTATTATTTTTCACAATGGATTAAATATCCTCATGGCTGAGGTGAGAAAAGATTGTTTACTTCATTTAGTGTTCCCATCATGGGTACAATATACAACCAGCTCGACTTAATGTGATATATTTATGAAAGAGGTGACTACTATCTGACATAATTAGTGAGAATTTCTTCATCATTGTATTTCACACAACTTCATCAGGTTTCCTTATTTCAGTTCCTATTACTTTCTGAGCAGACTTGCTTATCTTAAGAATTTTCTTCATGTGCAATTTATTTAAACTGTAAAGCTTTGTCTACACTATCAAATTTTATGTGACAAAAAAATATGATGTGCCCATATATGGGCATGATGACGTCATATCACATATCATCAAATTGTATAAAAAAAAAGTTGAACTCCTTCAACTCTATGTTCCATTAAATTTTATGTGACGCTTTTTTTGATACAATTTGATAGTACAGACAAAGTTTTATACTGTACTATTGTACTGAATGTTAAAAGAGAACTAGCAAAATGATTTTTTGTTCTGGAGGGGATTTTTGATACACCATTGATAATAGAATCAACCTTAAAATCGTTTTTTGGCAATTTTTTATGAAGTTATAGGCCATTATATACGATTTAATCGTGACGTCACTGGCAAAAAAGTAGCAAAAGATCGTGTAAATAAAACCGCGTAGGTATCCACCGTGTACAATCTTTGCATGCATGCTGTAACCATGGCTGTAACTCTTTTGTTGACAACCGCTGATGCAGTTATATAGGTCTATGACTTGATCAACCTTAACGATTTTAAGGTTGATTCTATTATTAATGGCGTATCCAAAATCTCCTTTAAAACAAAAAAATCATTTTGCTAATTCTCTTTTGAGACAGATAAAATTACAGATTCATAAAAAAGTGTGATCTTGTTGCATATATGAAATTTTTGTATTCTTCTTAAAAAGTAGAGCCTCTTGTAACGCTTACTGGTGAATTGCTTAGTGCTCTCCTTCCAGTTTATCATCTATAACCATGCCTAGTTATTTAGGATCTCTATTAGACCACTTCAAATTTATCAATTTTAGATTATATAATACATACTCCAAGTACTGAAATGCATGCCATCGTGTCGGGATTCAATATTTGGACATTAATAACTTTCATGCATACAATGGTTTTGATCATGGTAAGCCACCAATAATTCATCTAAGTTTAACATAGGCCTATACAACTATTAGTTGCTCTACCACAGTGTATCCATTGTTTGTAGGCTGTGATGAAGAGGCCTCAATTTAGTCATGGCAGAAAAATATAATGAACCCAACTAAAATTAGTGAAGTGGCCAATCAAATTATTAGTTAACAACCTCTGTTGGGATTAGGGTGATTACTTTTATTATTATACTGTTGTAATTTTATTTTTACATGCAAATTACTTAAACAAATATTTAAAAAAAAACATTCTCAAAAATCGCCCTACTTTACAACAATAGTAACGTACCATACCTTTGGTATTTTGTACTTCACATTCTTCGGACAGTGTTTTTGAAGAACTTCAGTCACAGCATCAAGTTTCTCCTTAAGAGAAAGAAAAAATAGCAACTGGTTTTTAAAAAAACATACCTATCATTAGTTCTAACTAATGCGTTATTAGTAACTATCAATCAATATATAAGTGCAAAAATAATGTGAAAGTTATTGGTCGTGAACTGATAAACTATCTTCCCGAATAAACTTGTCATATTTTTCCAAGTGTGAAAAATGAAGTAATTAGTTACTAAGTACAATAAAAGCAATCACCAACTGACGGCAGACGCAGAATAAGATCTCCACGGTTCAGCGCACACAGTGGTACCGTCAGATTAGTCAACTGAGCTAAGTTGCTCTCTATGTCATCAAGTTGTTTCATATACTACTGTCTGAGACCCTCCTCCAGCATTTTCCATCTTTTTCTAAGTGCAACATAGCACCACAAGTTTAGCTGGCTCAGCTATGCTGCTCTCTTTCAACTTTTGTATTTTCATACAAAGATGTTGCTTGACATTTCTTTAGTCTTATTTACAATAAAAACACTAAGGAAATGAGTGGGTTATGGTGCCACTAATCAAATAGCTTTTATCAACCTCCATTCTGCCTCCAGATACTTTTATATCTCTGTGAATTAACCCAAACATTGTAGTGTTTTTAATAAATTTAAAGATGTGGTAATTTGTAAATGAAGTCTGACATTATAAAACAAAATATTGCCATCATAATTGGGGATAAACAAATAGCCTATTTTATTTCATTTTATTTATTATGCCTTAAAGATAAACAACTGGTTACATTGCAAAACATGTACAATGAAAGATAAAAATGAACAGGCAAAGACATGATTACTAAAAAGTAAACCAAATTACTATCTTACAAATAGGTCTCCTTTGGCACTGTTTGGAAATAATACAGTAGAATACACACATTAGAATAAACAAATAATAATAATAATAATAATAACAATAATAATAATAATAATAATAATAATAATAATAATAATAATAATAATAATAATAATAATAATGATAATAATAACACTCATTAGAGAGCATACAAGTATCTCCGCACACCGCAAATCCCTTTCTATAAAATATGTTCCTAATTTACTTCAACCACCACCATTACCACCCCACCTCATTTCGCTCCGCTCCTCTTCAAAAACGCACAGTAACTCGCCTAAACACTTTTTATTTCAAAGAAGGGCACTATTTCCACTTTTAGTATAGGTGTTTTGGGGACTCTTTTTTAGAGTGGACATTTTCAGATTTTGTAATCCGAAATGATTTCACCACAATTCCCTGTCAGACTATTTTTCACGACACATGTTACATTTTATTTTCAACTAGTGAAACTGTAAAAAAAAAATGTGACAACCCACTTAATTTCCAACCACCACCTACTTAAAAAAATACATAATAACTTAAAAATTAATTAACTTAAAATACATTAAAAATACATAATAACCAGCCAACCGGAAATGCCTTTAATTTTTTTTTTTAGTTGTATACCTGCCAATTACTTACAACTTCTGGTTAAACACACAGGAACCTTTTACTTTCATAGTTGACAAAAAAAAATACATGCGAAGTATTGGTGTTGTTGAAATGTAAATATTATGCAAATAGTCAATGGTTCATAGCATCACATGTTTAAATATAAAGATGCATTAAAAATATTCCCAATAAGTTCCCAAAAACTGAAGTTAGTACATATTAAACGCTGTAAACATTTACTGTAATTGCACTAATTTGAATATTCATCATACATCTATTTTTATCTGTCTACGGTATATGGTAAACAAATGAGACCTGCCAACTCGAAATGAGAGTAAAGTTGAAATTTATGAAAAATCGGATGTATATATTTTCTGATTGTACATTATTTCAGCTTCAAAATGGAGTTTAAATTATTTAAATACGTTTAGAAATAAGAGAGATATGATTAAATGAATTCGCATAATACTACAAGTCTAGGAAAAATACAACAATGAAAAAAAAGGCTCAATCAAAAGTCACAAAATTTTCTTGCTTCTGAAGATTTTTTCGCAATGAAAATTTGGTATGTTGTAAATCAATACTTTTAGAAGCTGTTTTGATTGAAATCAGAATTTCAACCATATAGGAGGTTTCTATGTATTTTGCCTCATAACTCAAATATACGCCGTGCGACTTTACTCTCATTTCGTGGTGGCAGGTCTCATATTCTTTAATTGGTATTCATATTCACACCCTACTTCTGATCGTAACCAAAATTTTAACACCATTGAAACATGACAAACTATTCTGGAAATCATCATTTTGATCCAATGATAAATTTGAGAGATATTTAGGTTTGGGACCTAATGGCCCTCAAATGCACACCTGAATCTGCATCATCACCAGCACTTCATAATTTCTTCCTTGTAACTTGGTTAACTTTCACGAAACTTTCATTCAGATCAGTTGATTAATTTTCAAAATATTTGGTCTGGGACATTTCTTTGAATGGTCCTCACCCTACTCTGGATGGTCACCAAAATTTTAACATTTCTTCATTGAAACATGACAAACTATTCAGGATAGTGTCATGTGGATCCATTGATTATTTTTAGAGATATTTAGTTCTGGGACCTTAGTAATTTTTAAATGATCCTAAAATTCACACCCGAATTTGGATCATCACCAAGACTTTCATGAAAGTTTCATTCTGATCAGTTAATTTGTTTTTGAAATATATATCGTATAGGACGTTTTCCTTTCAATGGTCCTCATACCCACACCCTACTCCGGAACGTCACAAAAATAATTCATAGTGTCATACCTAACACTCCCTGTAACTTTTATTTAGATCTGTGCAGCCGTTTTTGAGATATTTTGAACCCAAGCACACACACAAACTTACAAGACTGAAAATTTATATCTCCTGGTGGAGATGATAATAATAATAATAATAATAATAATAATAATAATAATAATAATAATAATAATAATAATAATATTACTTCAATTTAACGATTAAAATATAATTAAAAACAATGTAGACATCATATATGTTAAAAAAAAATATTGATAAACCATTTTTGGAATAATATAATGTAATATAGTTTACAAAAAAGCTTAATCTGCCAAGAAAATTGGCATAACCATAGTCATGATTTACCTTTCCTGTGTTTCTGACCATCAATAAATAATTGTTGAACAAATCAGTATTTAATGAACTTCCAACGATTCCAGATGTATAGTGATTCAAACAGCCTGAGCTAGACAAACAACCACTTGAAGAAAATATGAAAACCAACAGAAAAATAATTGGTAGGCCTTGGTATTTTAATATATAGTTATAAGTCAATCGTGATGTCATCACTGCAACTCCCAATGTTATTTGCCTATCCCACACAGTACAATAATTTTTTACATAGTGTATGCAATAGCTTGATCTTTTTTGAGGTTTGTGTGCAAAAGGAGAAAAATCGTGCACTGCGATCAAAAGGTTGATTAGAACCCAAAGAAAGTTACTTCAAATTCAATATTAAGTATGAACAATTTTAAGGAATTCTTTGAATCAATGGACCCTAATAATAACAAACTGAACATTTAATAGGAATATTCTAGACCTATTTTAAAAACGTAATTGGATAGATGTATGCTTGGCCTCCTGCCTACGACCAAGCAGGAGGCCGCCGTAGCCTACCAAGCATATTTATGAAATCATCGCACGATTTTACCTGTCTGCACCGACCACAAATTGATTACTGTATTCTCTCAAATGCTTTAAAAAAATGTTTATTTCTTTAACAAAAATCTATCAAAATAGATTACAAACAAGTTCTCTAAACACAAAAGTTATTCATCGTATCCGTAATGTACTGCTGATGTGTAACGTCGCTAGTTCTGTGAGTTAACACGTAGTGCAGGAGCACAAATCAGCATACGCTCACAGCGTACTATGTACTGCTCTACTAATTGCTTAATACTGTACACTATGTTCAAATCTCACTTTTCATAATTATATACATTGATAGCTATTATAGAAACTTTGGTATGGATAAACACATCCACTTATGATAATTAAAGATGATAATAAGGCTCTTCTTTATGAGAAAAACATCGCCCATATCTGGAATTAAATTCTTGTTCTTTTGGGACATACGTTTTTCACAAAATATTATCTTATAGCTGTGCCATGATTTAGAACATGTGCATTTTCTGAGCCACTTACTTCATCATAAGCTTGTTTAGCACAACAGTTGGCGCTTCAATCCACCCCAGTCGCAGTCCAGGACCTAGTAATTTAGAGAAGCTGCCATTCGATACAATATTGCCAAAATAGTCTTTGTCAGATTTCACGTCGTACTGGTATAGCCTTGGTGGCGCTCTCTTGAAATCATCACCGTCCTTCTCAAAGCACAGCAAATTATATACATCGTCGCTAATGACCAACATGTTGTAGTCTCGTGCAATTTTCACCAGCTTCTCACATTTCTCTGAAAAAAGCATGACACATCAATCATTGTGCTATGTCAGATGGTATTACTGCAGACATGACAAAGTATAATTAATTTGATACTTGGGAGATTTCGCAACCTTACAAAAACGATAGCGAATACGAATACGTCATTATCATTATCGTCATTCGTGCCTGAAACGTTATGGACAATATGCTGTACGAGCAGCATATGATCCTTGATAAATGCAAAAGGCATGAATCACTTACATTGTGACAAATACGCTACTGTATGGGAGTGGTTGTCTAAAAATTTTATAATATAACTGTATTCGTTATTGTTTTTGTAAACTTGCGAAAACTCCCTAATTGCAGTACTGTTGCCCTTAATCAAACAAAAACTCCTATATAAAAGCCTAAAAAAATAGCAGCAATGGAAAAAGGGAACTATAATATTAAATTCAAGTACGAACTAAAAAAAATGTTTAGGTCATGATTGTAATGCTTTAATAGGTGATTATGAAGTAGGCATACATTGAAAGATTCATTCAAAAAATTGGAGTAGTAGTAGAGTGCCCCAAAGTGAAATAGTGTTGATGAAAATAATTTGCAGAGCTTTAACGCATAGGCAGGTAACGACCCATTTAAAAAAAAAAAAAAATAAGACGGGCAGGTAGCCCTCCGCTCTTAAATCTGCCTTCGGAATTACTAGGTGATGATTATTAACAAAAGTTCATTTAAATTATTATTAGTAAACTGACCGTAGTATTAAGGAATAAAATATCTGTAGACCGCAGGTGGGCAAAGTGTGGCCCGACAGTGATTTTTTGCAGCCCAAGAAAAAAATTGAAAGCCCTACAGTAGGTGTGCGGCCCGCCAAACAACATTGGTTAGAAAACACCTTAGTTTTTACGGCCCGACACTGACCAGTGTTCTCCCTAGCATCATGGGCAAGCGTCATGGTAAGTGTTAAGTTCACCATAGTTGGGACTGACACAAGGTATTTTTAATAATTAGGAGGCATTGAAATGTCCTAAATAGCAATTTAAGACTATATATAAAAGCAGGGAATAGTTAAATAATTTAACTATTCGTTGATAAAAGCATCATGGAAGATGTTCCAAGCATCATGGCCAACTGTCAAGCATCATGGGGAAAGTCCCAAGCATCATGGTATCATGATGCTTCAAGGGCCTGGGGAGAACACTGATAAAGTAATATTAAAACTGGGAATAAAGTGGTGTAATAGCAATACTTGGAGGTTTTTGGAAGCACACTGGAAAAATCGAAGTTTGGGTGCGGCCCTCTGTGTTAAATCAGGAATTTACTTTGGTCCTCCGACCGATTTTTATACCCACCCCTGCTGTAGAACTACCTTTTGAATAACATAGTCCTGTGGGGTTTTGATAGATAGTAATGACGTATAACAAAGCCCAGAACGGCCGTTTGGCAGTTGGTTGAAAAGCATCTGGCTTCCTTCGTTTAATTTCTTGCTCCAGTGTCTCTAAGTTTATTCCATTATCATCAAGTGGAACTACAAAAAAAGACAGGACCGAATCAGACACTACAAAAAATGTTGAGTAATGCATAATTAACAAAACCCTTTTCCAAAAAAGACCAAAAAATGAGAAATGAAATAATTGGTTCAAAATAACCTGGTGGTCTTTTGAGGACAAATGCACTGATTACAAAATTATGGAATTCACCCCCCCAGAGAGTCGAGTATGTGTCCTATTTGTCATCTAAATGACAGGGCTAATGATATAAAGCGCTTAGATATCTGGTTGAGATGAAGTGCTTAATAATTAACAAATTATTTCCAAAAAATGGCGCACCAACTGTGACTGTTACTTACTGGGTACAGTTTTCAATCCGAGGTCAATGCTAACAATTCCGTTGACTAGATAGAATGTGGGATCCTCAGTGAAAATGTAGTCTCCTGAACTGAAGAACGTGCTAGCAAGTAAAGATAAACCGGACGTTGCACCAGATGTAGTAAACAGCGATTTTCTGAAAGGAAGGAATAAATAATGCATTTTTTGTTGACCTGTCATCTCTTACTTATTCTTCTTGTTTAATAGTAAATCACCATTTATGTATATTCGCAACCTTAAGCTCCAACTCAACTGAGAAACATGTTCTTGATATTCCTTCTACTGTATGCTGGATTAGCGGTTTACCGATTACAAAAAGTTCAAAACTCTGCTGCTAAAATTAGTTCTCTTATCCCCTACCAACAACACATTAAACCAATCCTTAGTAATGTACATTGGCTTCCTGTTTAAACTTATTTTACTTGTTTTTAAGTCACTCTTAAATTTGTTAAAATAAACAGCATTTAATCTTCGTCGGCCACAAATAAAAAGTAGGCGAGATTTTCTATTTGCGTGGTAATAGTAGTAGACTGAAATGATTGACCTCTACTCCATCTGTCTCAGTATTATATTAAACTTTATAATACACCTAAGTAGATATTGTCATTTGATTGATGGATTTTGTCATGTGACATTGGGTATTTACACCTTTTAATGACAAATCAATCGCACATTTTGACTCTCATCACTCTACATGAAGATTTAGAATTTTTGTTCCATTCGTTCTGTCCCATTGTATGCCTCTAACTAATACTGTACAATGTTTCCATTTGTTGAAAGAAGATGGACTAAATTATATTTTAGAAATATCAAATGACATGTCATAGAAAGAATGGCTGTTAAATTCAACTTCATTCTGCCTTGTTGAATGAAAAAGTAAATCTTTCAAATCATGAAAATATTCTTCTAATTCCATGCATAAACATCCATTTTTTATATAAATAATAATAATAATAATGGTAGACTTACCATAAATGCTCGAATAAGCGCCGCTCTCGAGTAGCTGCACCAAAGCTTATTCAAGCATTTTTGGTATATAGCGCATAATTAAAAGACCTCTACGCACTCCACATTATCATTATCCCGGTCATTGGATTAAACACTTATGGAACACAAACTGAGCTGCCTGGACTATTCCATGATGTTGCAGCAGCTAATCAGCCCATTTGGCACTTTACCCTACTAGGTACCTACTGTATACTCCTGGGTGGAGAGAATGCAATGCAGATGAAGTGCCTTGCTCAAGGACACAAGCAAAATGCACAGCGAGGGATTCAAGCCCCAACCTCCGGGTTGGGAAACCAAAAACGTTATTATGTTAGTTTGATTTATTTTATTCAGTTGAATTTGGTCCAAGTTTGATTACTGTAAGTTCCAAGTTGGGATTTGGATTTTGGACCAACTTAATTTTGACATAAGTTGGCTTTGGTCTAAAGTTGCCTGATAAGCCGATTTGGTCGAGATTTTGGTCCAAGTAGAAATATAACACCACATATAAAATACAAAAGATTTTTATTGTACTTACGGATCAACATTATCATCATACTCTTCTGAAAGAAATTTGGCGAGATTTGTTCTGTAATCGGGATCTCCCATCCTACTCCCATACTGTAGTAAATCCCCATCGCCAGATATCTCCCTTTCCTTTGAAAAACCGATAAAAAAAAGTCACATCAGAAGATACCATTGCTGTTATAACGGACACATAAAACAAATTCATTACATCTCACCAAAACCAAATAAAAGCTATTTTGTTGTAATTCGAGTATGCCGATTCATGCGGAACACTTAACAAATTGCAAATCAAACTTTGTACTCCAAAATAATGTTAATTAAGACTAAAAGGTACAGTATTACCCTAGCAGAAACAAATATATTTGTACTTTAAAACACAATATTAATAGCCTAAAATCTCATTCTCACTGGAAAGAATAATTTTTAAAAATAGTGCTAGTAGAAGGGATGTTGCTGGTGGGTACAGGAGTATGGTACTGTATATTACTGGTATGCCTAGTAGTAGTAATACTGTACTTAGTTACTAGTGTTACATTTAGTAGCAGCTAGCAGTGGTAGCTACTGTAGTAGTAACACATACTTTATGACTATAACGTAAATGCTTGTATAAGCACCGCGGTGCTTATAACATTTTTGAAAGCTTCAGTACGATGCTTTTTCGAGAGTGGCACTTATAATAAAATATTGCCATGACATTTTTATGCCCATTCCTATGTTACGTATTGCCGTAGTTCAGTAGGCCTATCATAAGTCTTATGTCATCGTAAATAACCGTTTATAAATAAAAAGCTTGTGTCTTCATTGTGTTATTCATTTTAACACTGTATACTGTACATTCAAAGTGTTTCATTACACACACGCAGTGGCGGATTTAGAGGGGGGGGGTAAGGGGCATACGCCCCCTCTATTTTTTGTAAAAAAAGAATTGTGTATAAGTTTATCAGAAAATTACCAAGGTAAATAGTAAAAATCAATAAAATATAACATTCAATTAATAAAGGTGCAAATGATTTAAGGGAGATTAACTCCCTTGCATCCCTACCCGAGGCTTTTTCCTGAGATTCCCACTCAGTTTGCACATTCACGCCCCCTCTTTTTTGCGAGGCTGGATCCGCCCTGCCAGGGTAATATATCAGTTTCAATTAAGTGCCGAAGCGCTTATTGGAGCGGCAATAATGCGAGCATTTAGGGTAGCGGTCAGGTAGGCTGATCAAATTTTATATTTAATGCCTGGTTCTATAAAATCGCAACAGGCTATTGTAGACAACTATTAGTGACACTGATTGAATCGGTTGAATTGGGGAACCATTTCAGATTGCGTCAGAGACAGCAATGCAGTGTGTGACAATTGCAGCACGGAGGTTATACTTCCTTGATTGCCATGAAAACACTGTCCCGACAGTGTAGTAATTTTATGGAAACCAGCCTTTAATAATGAAGTATAGTCTCCACATTGTTTGAACTATGTACAGTATTACACAACGTGCATTTGCATGTGGCACATACCCTTATAGAATTTAATAAGAAATGAAAAAAATTTAATCGTACTAATCTCATCTCCGTAGCTTTCAGCAAAAATGTGGCGGCTGACCGGAGTATCTTGACTCCTGGTGCACCTATATCCAGTGAGTATTTATCTTCACCGATCATCTGAATCTCAGTGAACACTGTTTTGAACATGCCATAATCTTCATTCTGCGACATTGTTGGGGGAGTTGATAAGTTACACTGCAAGAGCTTGTTTTACTATAAATAAACCTGTATTAATTGATATTGTCCCCTGAAAATGAAAAAAAAATAATTTTGAAATTAACTTGTTCATTTGCCAGTTAACATAGAAATTATTAAATTTTTTTTATACTTGATAATGATAAAAATAATAAAGGTGTTCGAATGTGTTTCTATCATTTTTTGCAGTAAAACATGTCTTAAAAACACTTAAATCTCAAATTGATAATTTTTATGTTACTGTACTAAATTAATTTTAAAATGATTTTAGGATATTTTTTTGGTATTTTTCATGGGACAATATCTTTAATACTATTACAGCCTACCTATAAATAAAATACTCATCCACAACCATCTGGCAAGAGTGCAGGTTTTTAAGGCCATACCATGGAGTTAGAGATAACTAAAAGGGCCAAACACAAGATATAAGAGCAAGACCCTTTAAATATGTCACAAACACAAGATATAAGCTGTCTCTTATACACATCTAGATGTGTATAAGAGACAGTTATCGGTTTACCGATTACAGAAACTGAGAAACATATTCTTGATATTCCTTCTACTGTATGTATGCTGGATTAGCGGTTTACCGATTACAGAAACTGAGAAACTCTGCTGCTAAAATTAGTTCTCTTATCCCCTACCAACAACACATTAAACCAATCCTTAGTAATGTACATTGGCTTCCTGTTTAAACTAATTTTACTTGTTTTTAAGTCACTCTTAAATTTGTTAAAATAAACAGCATTTAATCTTCGTCAGCCACAAATAAAAAGTATACAGCTTTATTAATTTTATATAATATTATATACAGTACTTTACAAAAATCAGGTTTCACAAATACTCTATTAGTGTAATGTGTAATAAACAAAGGTTAGGCCCTACATGTAAAAAGTCTAAATTACGTTTTAAAAGGATAGTTACAAATAAAGTTTCCACAAAACATATTTATGCCCAACTCATTTACATCACAAAACAAATGAACTAAGCTGACACATGGACCAGTTGACATTGAACCTGGGTGAAAATAGCCCCAAAAAATGTGAAATTTATCTTTTAATAGGGTCATATTATGCCTCGCGTCAAGTGAATTGTTCGTTCATAGGATGTTGCAGAGTTGAGCATCTTGCAACAATCAATAATTTTTTATTGTTACTGTTAGCTATAATTATAGGTCTATCATGTGTTATCTTGTTTTATATTGTTTGTCCAAATTTCAAATATATTAATTTCGGACCAACAGACCTTCAGACCAAAGGACCTTCGGACTAATGACCCTTTGGACCAAACCAAAGGACCTTCGGAGCAATGTACTGACTCCTCCTAATTAAGCCTAGAGGCCCTATGTCCCATCCCAGTCCTAACCTTAAATGGACAGACGATTCAGCAGTAGTGGCGCCAGAGGGGCTGGGGGGCTATAAAAAAAGTATACTATGGAACGCCATGCAAATAAGCAATATGGAAAACCAATAGTGCCAAAATCAATTATTTTATAGCATTTTCACTGATTAAGACAAAGTTTAGGGACTGGAACCCAGTCTCCTCGATGCCTATCAAATAAGTAATAAAAATATGCCATATTAAATTCATCAAATATCTGTGGCTTCCATCCAGGGGGCTTCGCCCCCTTGACCCCTAGACGGCCCCCTGGCCCCCAGCCAAATGAGACTTGATTCGGTCCACTAACCCCCCCCCCCGCCAAAGTATGGCGTGCCAATAGAGTTCCGTTGGTAGTGTGGTTGTTGTTGCAGGATGCGGAAGCGTAGACAAATAATAATCTGGCCCTTTTTTATTTAACTTTCTGTCTGTGTAGGCATAGGCCTACATATTTGTATGTAATCCATGCATGCTTAGGCCTACGTTACGCATTTTTCATTAGGTATATTTATTTATTTTTGCGGTTAATAAAATATAATAACGCCTAATGATACCGTAATTATTCACATTTTATACTAGGCCTACTGTATAATAAATTGTTATAATTATACGAGCGCAGAAACTGATTTATCATGATAATGATTTTAATTTGTTCTTTAGATGATGAGGGAAAATAAATTCTGTCTAAATCTAGATTGATTAATGGTTAATTATATGTTTTGTATTGTTATAATTATAAACGTTTTTGTAAATATTATGGCGGTACAGTATATGTATTGTAAATTGAAACACCTCACTACAAGACTTGCAAAAAATAGCAAAACTTAAACTTGTATAGTCTTCTTTTATTGATACTAAAGTTGTAACAATCACTGTAAATATTTAACTATACACTGAAACTTACATAGTACAAAAATAAGCAAATTTACATAAATATCATATAGGAATAAAATATCAAATATTATAAGGAATTGTGTATGTATAATAATATTTCAATCATTTCATTTATAAATTCAATTCCAATCTTATTAGACATTCATTTATGGGTGTTGTCTTCAACTTAATGCACTAGGCACACTCATTTGTATGATAGTACTCTTAGACAAAAGACAAGAATACGACAACAATGGTGTCTTTTCATCTGTTTAGTTCTTTTGTAAGGCTATCTTCATTCATGTTTTCATATGTAAATAGGTTATGATACATTTTAGTAGTTCCACAGTGTTAGCATAATTAAAAGTAAGTTTTTATTTTAATAATATCTTACCTCGTCTTCCTCTGTGGTTTAGGCGGTAATGCCAACCTTCCAGGTTGTTGTTGGTCCTTGCACTGATTGTAGTAAAATTTTTCACACATTGTACAATAAAAAATATACTAACACTACGTACCTTTTATATCTTGTTTTATTGGTAAACAGTGTAGTAATGGGATGGTTAAATGCTTTAAATGTATATAATTAGAAAATCACGTTGTACATATAACATATTGGAGATGGTTAAATCCTTTAAATTCATATAATATATAGGCCTAAGGAAGAAATATGCAATTAGTTTTGGATATTTCAAGGCAGCGGCGAGCGTAATAAAAATTAAAAAAAACTTTAATTTCTTTCTAAGATTCGAAATCATTATTGGCGGGCACTATATTTTGTATTCATGTCATCAAATTTATAAAACACAATGCGCAAGTTGTGGAAAATATTTTCTCGCTTTATTCACCAATGCTCAATGGGCACAACCACCGACTAACGAAATAACTAACTGTATACGGTAATACTATGAATGACAAATCCTACATGTAGAGTATAAGCTATATATTTCATCTTTCATTTATTTATTCAACCATAACTTCCCAGACGATTATAAGCTATACATTTCATCTTTCATTTATTTATTCGACCATAAACATTAAAAACCACAAAAAAAAAAGAAAAAAAAAAAAGAAACAACAAGACGATTTTTAACACTACAATTTTTGTTTATTTTCATCGCGGAAGAAAAATAAATAAAAAAATTCAAACATATCAACAAACAAAATGAAGTCGTATACTATACAGTAAATATTTTCCCTTTTTATTCATGTTACCATGACTCAACCATCAAACGAAATCAACAAATGTATTTAATTAGAAAATCACATTGTACATTCTTTAAATTATATAATATATAGGCCTAGGCCTAAGGAAGAAATATACAGTTGGAGATTTCAAGGCAGCGGCGGGCGTAATAAAAATAGAAAAACTTTGATTTTATTATGAAATTCGAAATCATTTTTGGCACTATATTATTCATGTCATCAAAGTTGTACATAACACAAGGCACAAGATGTGCAAAATATATTTTATCACTTTATTCACCAATTCTCAACATTGAAAATAAATCAGAAATTTAAACATATCAACAAGTGACATATTTTTTTACACTACATTTTTATATATTATCACGCAAGAAAAATAAATCTAACGTATCAACATCAAAACGTTTTCACATTGTACATAAAACATATCGGAGGATGTACAATAAAACTAACAATACATAATTTAATACTTATTTGGCATAGGGCCTATAACACACATTCTACTGGATCTTTAAACAAATATAGTTTTAATATTCTTGTTTTAATACGTTATGTTTTTATACCGGTAAATAAATCCTTAATTATTCACTGTAGTCCTAGGCTTACATATTTTCTCCTTTTTGTTACTGACATATCCAGCTGTTGTATGACTACGTTTTTCACATTGTGGCTGTTGTGTATTCGGTGGTCTCTTTTGCGTTCCATACATTTGGCGCGGCGGCCGAAATGAGTGGCGGCCGAAATGATCGAATACCGGGGCCTTTAGTTTAGCCCCTCCGCCGGGCAGGTCCTGGCGCCACCACTGCGATTCAGGAGAGACTTATGACTTTCGCGCGGTTTTCTTCGAGGCATATCATTACTAGGGCCTAGTATAATACTAGGTCTAGCCTAGGCCTAGACTCTAGCCTACTAGAATATTATTTTCTGCACACGAATCGCTAAGCTAGTCTTAGGCCTAGGCTAGACACGTCTGTTGAATCCCACTCCCAGCCTTCTTTTCACTGTTCAGCTTGGAAGGCCTGGCCGTCGGCGTAGGGCCTACAAACGTTTAAAAAAATATTTACCTCCTTCGATCCGGCATTGGTACTAATGATGTAATGTTCACGAGAATATCACATCAACAATTTCGTCGTAAATGTTCTTTTTTTCAAATAAACCGCATCTTTGTTTCAACTAGCCAATTCGGTAGTGGCTATCGGCACTGCCGCAGTGCGAAAAGCTGCTGTTTTCTATTGGCACTGCCAGTGCGAAAAGCTGCTGTTAATAATAATCGAATCGATGTTTTTATCGATAGATGACATTAGGTATCAATAATTGATTAGGTCTAGTCTATATTATTGTTAACATTATAATACATGTTTTACAATTAATAATTATAATTATTTATAATTAAATTATTAAATATATACATTATATATTATGCCTAGGCATATATTCATGTAAGGCCTATGCATAAAACTATAATAATAATAATAACAATAATAATAATAATAATAATAATAATAATAATAATAATAATAATAATAATAACAATTTTACGATAGTTTGATTAAGATAATAATAATCAGCATATTAAATAAAATTACGTCCATGCAAAACCTGCTTTTAAATAAAAATTTTATCTACCGTACTGTATTTGATTCTGTTTTAAAAAATAATCTTACTATATACCATTTATCAAAAATATACCATACTTATATAAGTACAACACAGATATTTAAGATTAAGATTTACGTTAGGTAAGTTTTGAGGTATTGTATTACCAGATGAGGCACAAACTTTGATGAGTATAGGAAATTGTGTTTATGTATTATGTGTTAAACATGATGTAATGCAATACTGTAATAGACACGTGTTTAGAGGAGTAATTCAAAATAGTTATTTCTTTTTTGCATTATTAGTTTCCTTTACTATAAGCATTCCTTTTTGGCTACGATTGGTGAAATTATTGTTCCTCGTACACATATAATGATACTCGCCAGCAGGTATCTGTAACAGCGCCCCCTTGTAAGAAGCAGGTGCATTATCTAGTAGATTATTAATTTTGTTTTTATTTTGAGCCGATTGGCCTCCGCAGGTTGCAGCGGACATACACTGGTAATACCCAGAGCTTGCCATGCTGACTGCCAGGTCTACGGCGGACAAGTCCGGTGGTTGCGTTTCCGAGTCGGCCTGTGAGTGAATCCACACGATGTTAGCGTTCTGCCACATAGTGGTCCTGTCGAAGGGCAGCGGATAGTTGTCAAGTGCACTTGGTATCTGCACAATATTATTGCGGTCGGTTCCTAAAAAAGAAAATCATTTTTTAAGGATATCTTTTCATTTAAAACTAAAGAAGTCCTGTGCTCAAAGAACACACAAAAGCACATAGCAAAAAAGGACAAATAGACAACAGTTGTTCAAAAGAGAAAATACCTTCTTTTGAGCATAACAAAACATGTTTTTTTTTTAACTTACTTAGTGATTTTATTTTTTCAGCATTAAATATTATACTCTTTATGAAAAAGAATTCAATGAAACCTTCCAAATCATTTAAATAAAACTAAAAAAAAAAAAAAAAAAAAAAAAGCTGTTCCAAAGGCATGTTTGCATCCATTTTCATATCATTTGAAACATCTTACTTGAATCTATTATAATGTGTATGATGATGGTGATCAGGCATACAGATTTCAAGAAAAATATAAAAACAGCGTGGTGTCCCTGTGCATTTTTGCATACGTATTTGTGACATAGTTTTATGTACATATTAAAACATTGATACAAACCAAAGTTGTCAGTTATTTCATTTGAAACCAGTGTCAGTATTATCTTAGGAAAGCATGGTTAACAAAAGCAAGAATTTAGTCCAATGAAAATGTTTATCATCTTGATACCTTCCGACGAAAATTGACTCTACCGGCGTCACCACGGCGTCCCCACCCATCGATCTAACGTGACGTTGTTATGTGGGTGTTTTATAGATTATTGAGAATGGTAATATCACCGAAAAAATAGATAAAACGACAGTTGGATGACCAACAAAGACAACTAAAGACAATAGTTCGTCATTAGAAGTTATTTAGTACCGTATAACTTTATTCGGAAAATTAATCTCAAAATCGAGTTGCCGTCCCCGGCGTTGTCAGTGACGTCGTATGATTTGTGTGCGATTTTTAGAAGTTAACGCCTAAGTAAAAAATAGTTGAGCCATGTAGTACCTTGCAAATTAACCCAAAAACCCGGTAGTTTGTTGATTGTTTATGCATAAATACCAACCTGAGAGATTTGAAATGCGTGAGTGACTATACCAGGCTGTGTGGGGGTCCAAGCGGCAGGGGAACCACCTTCCCCTACCCCCGCTCCGACGATCTGAGCATTTTTAAGCTGTTTTAAAACGATTTTAGGTTTGTTGATAATACAGGAACATAAGCAAAAATATCATTAATAAAGCCAATTTGAGTTTCATTGTAGGCCTATTTTTGAGCACCCGAACTATGTAGACATACACAAACATTTCATTACTGATCAATTTTTAGTAAGTCGTTAGAGAAATAAGTAGGGCCTTCAACGAAATACCGTACTCTCTAATGACTCAAGTTACTGCATCACTTTTTATAGTTTTTATATAACCTATTTCTTCAAATTTTAAATACATTTCCCCTGAATTTGTGATAAATCGTTATCACGCATAGACTTTTGTTAAACGCGTGACAAATTTAGGATCACGCATGTGTTTCTGCAAAATGCGTGTTTCATCCAAAATCACTTTGAAATGCAGGACCGTCCCGCACAATGCGAGACGGTTGGTAAATATGATTATATGTATTATATTACAGTATTGTTATTGTATAGGCCGAATATTTTTTAAGCACAGATACCATTTGTTTTTGCATACGAAAATTACATTTATTACCACTCCTCTTTTTATTATTACTATAATAATATTTTATTATTATTGTAATATTTGTATATTATTGTTATCATTGCTATTACCGTATTATTATTATTATTATTATTATTATTATAAATATTATAAAATATTATTATCATTAGTCTTAGTATTATTTTTATAATTATACTGTAATGTAATTAATCTTCATTAAGTAATATGATAAAAATTAAATTGTTTTGTAACCATTATTATACTGTACTGCAATTAACAATCATCACCACCACACTGTCATAGGCTACAGGCAACATTAAAAATCAACGTGAAATTCAAGTGTCAATCAACTTTTTATTTAATAATCTGGTGGCACAGTCTGCACCACCAGATTATTACATTATTTATCTTGTATTTAACATCCTAAGATTGGGCTACTTGATACCTAGTTTTGCTTATTTCACTCTATTTTGTAACTTCGTATTAATTTGTTATTTATCACTTATAGTTCTGAGATTGGACTAACTATACAGTTCAATTTTTTCTGTGTATTTCATTCATTTTGTATGGGCCACTATGTTTAGCTCTCTACTTTCATTATTTACTCTCATAGACATCCACAGTGCCATGTATAAATTATTTGTTATTTTAGATATACACCCTTTATTATTATGTTAATGTGACAAGATGATCTGTCTAAGCTATTTGATTATGTCTTCACTTACACGCTGAAGAAGGTTGTAGGAA